GCAGCCCCGGCGGGAGGTGGCCGCGCGCGGGCCGGGGAGCCGGGAGCGAGACCTAATGGCGGCGCTGACGCCGGAGGGCCGTGGGGACGCCTCCTCGGCAGCCCTGGACGAGCTGTCCCGGAACTTCACGTACTGGGCGCCGGGCGCGGGCAATGGCTCGCTGTCCGGTGCGTGGTACCGCAGGAACCAGGTAAGGGCCGGCTACTCTGCCGCCCGGTGGGGACAGGGCAGGGCCGCGGCGCCTCCAGCTGCCCCTGCCAACTGTCAGAAAGACCGGCTTTCCGAGTGGGGAGAGCTGGCATGAGGTTTCCACACACTGAAGGACCCCTCGTTTGGGAGAGCCGGGTACCCATTCTCTCCTGGGCGTCCGGGTCTGTGGACCTGACCTCTGTGCAGTCATTCCTGGGCCTCTGGATCCCAAACAGCCCCACCTCTCCGGCCTGAATCCGCCTTCTCCCAGAAGGATTCTGGGAGTGTGCTAAGATTCTCCATATTCACCCGAGGATCACTTTATAGTCAAAATAAAAAGTGACGCCCCATTAAAGGCAGCCAGATGCCATCTGGCCAGATGCTGTGCGTGTGTCCCCAGTATCTCCATTTCTGAGCAGGAACACTCGTATCTCAGATCGCAGTGCCGGGACCCTCTTTGGCAACCCCCTTTTGGAAAACCTTGTTAGCCTCCACAGCCAGCCCAGCTGGAAATAAACATTTAATGAGATCAAGGTGTGGGGATTGACTCTGCCTACTTATTTTTGGCTTTGGTTAAAAAAAAGTCCTGGCCACCTTCAGTCCCATTGATATTCTTTGGGAGGGGGGATGAGGGTCAACAAATCATCTTGAACTGTGGATTCCACGCCTTCTATTTTCATAAGTGTGTTACTTTGTTCTTGTTCTTAAATCCTTGGGTCTTTTTATTTCACAATGATATAATCTAAAATATTTGTTGCTGTTGGTCTAACGCAGGTTTTGACCAATAATCAAAATATCTAAACCCTTTTGTGTCTGAAATGTGTTTTTTGAATGTTAGTATCTGAAATGTTAAAAAAAAAATTTGTTTGAAAAATTTTAAGATAGGAGATCAGAGAAAAACATCTTACTCATTTTCACCAGAGGGAAGGCATTGCTTTAAGTCTATTTTACCACAAAACAATAGAAAAAAATGGGAGGGAACCTCTTGGTCCATGCTTGTGCTAGAAACATTCCCAGTAAAAGTTAAAGGATGAATTTTCCTTTTTGATTCAATTAAGACACGAAAAAACATTGTTTTCACATTAGAAACCCCTATAGTTATTAGTTCTTTAACGTTCTCTGGAATTCCAGATTATTTGGCTTTCTGACACCCACACACAGATCTTCTATGTGATATAAATGTGAGGTTGTAACTTTTATGTTTACAAGATCACTTGCCTTTGCCATTATGTGTTTGTACAAGTTAGAAAAGATGTATTCAGAATATCCTAATTGAATTATTAAACTGAAATCTCATTTGAGTAAGATTGAACATTTTCCACTGTTGTACCCAGATAGGCCATCTGGTAACACTGTGGTATTTTAACCTTCAGTAATAATAGTGTTTGGTTTTAAGCAAAATTAAAAAAAAA